CCCCCCCCCCCCCCCCATTCTGGCATGTTTATCTCTAACTTACTATCATATGTAAACAGGTACAAGGTAGAATAAATGTTTACAAAACGGAATTTCTTACCTCTACTCTGAGAAGACAGCGAACTATTTATAGTCCCTGTGCTTGTTGATAAACTGGCCACTTCAGTATCTATATACAAAGAAATTACAGTTAAATCTGTTGAAAATCATATCAGTAACAATGAACTAATGAGCAAATAAATAATTTATAAACAAAAAAATGATAATTACAATCAACACATGCTAGTATTTGATTTTTCGTCAAATTATTTATTTTCAAAAATTATTCACTAGTTTTGCTGACATGAAATATCTTTCCTATGCCAAATTGGTCAGAATTATTCATACCACTGATATTCGGTGTCTGTGTGTGTTGAAATGACTGTCATGTGTAATATTTACCTTACCTACCTGTATAATTTTCCTCATTTAAATTCATTTTAGGTTTCACATGATCTCTAAACATTTCATGGTTTCTAAATCTGGGTGGAAGGTCTGCAATGAACTTCTTTCCTACAAGAAACAGTCATTTATGGATGCAAAATATTTAGCAGTATCACTTTATTGATTTATCAGTGTGGATGCATAAAAGGAAAGACCAGGTATTGCTATAAAATTAATTTTATAGTAATTGTAATTCATCAAAGAGATAAAATAATGATTAGTTCAAAAATATGGAAAATTCCTCTTAAAGATAGAAAATTGCCATTAAGATGAGTTCAAGAACTGTTTAAAAAGCTGTCAAGCAACTTTCCTTCTTTCTTTAGAAGCAAGTGGGCAAAATTGGACATAATAAAACATCAAAGGATGTTTTTTGCTTTTGATGAGCCATGATCATCTTTCCTACTTGTTATATTTCACAGCAGTTTGGGGGAAAATGAAACAGACATGAATGAATAAATTTTTTATTCAATTTAACAAAAAAATAAATAAATGAATATTTAAAAACTAAACACCCTCAAACATTTTATTTGAAAGTTGTACAAAATAACAGCATAAAAATAGATAAATAAAAGACTTATAAGATTGTTTAAATCAATTTAAGTATTAAACTTAAAAAGAAAGCAAACATCATTTTTTATTTCTTATTCAAAATAGACATTACTTACTATCTGCGAACATTTCATATTGGTCTTTAGGTGTTTTCCTCTTGGGTCTTTCTATTAGAGGCATCTCTATCTCTTCAGGGAGAAAATCCTCAGCATTTACAACACATCCCTTTTCCTGGTAATATTCCAACAGTGACTTCCATACTTTGTCAACTTTAAGCAGATTGTCATTTCCTGAAATAATATATCATTCACATGGAATTCCTAGTTTCCGCAGTAAAAGCTCATGTCTGAAAAATGCCTACAGACATATACTGGAGCTTTAACATCCCTTTATTCTGGAATATATACCCAGTACCACCCAACAAATTACTGCAACCAAAACTACACTGTAAGATGCTTAATGAAAGCAGCTACTTTTTGCCTATAAATACATTGTAAACAACTCTTTAAAATATAATAAATTTTATTTTATCAGTTAAAGCAGAAATTCTGAAATTTGTGGTTGTCACGTGACCTCCATAGATGTCTACACTCTGTAATAATCACTTAAGAGAATATTATAAAAAAAAAACTTTTTAGAAAAAAAACAAGGACTAACTTTGAATGTGGAAATGGATTCATTAACCATTGGTACGTATGGAAAAATTATCCTTTATCCTAGGAAAATCCATTGTTTGGCCAAAATGAACAGTTGTTATCTTTATAAATATCGATGTCTACCCAACTTTTTTAAAAGTGCTTATTTTACAAAAGCTGACAAACATATTAAAGTTGAATTTTCAAGCAAGATTTTTAGGGGTCAACATGTCAAGTTATTAAGGTAGTAATTAACAGTAAATTGTCAAAATTTGGGTGTTTTTCTGAATTTGTCAGTATTAGATAGATGAAATATCAACTACATATCAGCCTATCTTAAAATAATGGAAGTTTACAAATAAACCCGTAATTTTAGCCTAATTGCTGATTTACCCCTGTGGTAGCGTGTCTGAGTTTTAAAGTAGGTTTCACTTGTCCATATATGTGTTTGATTGGCAGCTCCACTGTGCAGCTGTATATTTCCCGTACTAGATTGCTGCTAAGCCTTTCACATTCTGTGAGTAACGTCGCGCTTTCACTTGCTAAACAATACTTTTCATTTTGAATTTATCAGTGAACTTAATTCTGATGATCTGTTAAAGCTTTAAAAAGCAGACATATAGATGAGACGTATATGGGCAAAGGCACTCCCCCTAGGTGTCACGTGGTGAAGAAGGCTGAGGTCACGACTAACATGGTGGCTGCTGTCAATGCATGGAGGGGGCCTCCGGTTGAAAATGTTCAATAATAATGTTGAAAATGGATGAAAGACATAGTGACAGTTACATAGGCAGTGAGTAGAGGGCTGAACCAGTTTAAATAACTAAATTTCTCAGCTTGCCAATGCAGCTCACTGATTATATAACGTTGGAATCTCCGGGGAGCACTAAAAGGCTGATTTCTCCGCTTCAGTTTATGGCTTCAAGAGAACGATTTAGACCAGTGTCAAAATAAATTAGAACTCTCAACCGATGAAAGCTGGTATTCATTCATTAGATCTAAGGTTTGTCTGAAAGTATGTGTCTGGGATTTCATAACATCAGCTCCGTTTTCAACTTAGGCATACTTTAGTTAGGCTAGGGGGTCTCGTTGAACTGGAAACCAAGTTTATTTTGATATCTCTGCTAATTTAACACATATCGCTAATTTGAGGCGCATTCTTGTTGATCCCTATGAGGGCTCACAAGTCAAGCTGTCTACACATGTCCATTTGTAGTGGACTTCTAGTTTTTAAGGTGTAAAGATTATGTTGAGCACACCTATTAAGCATTATATCTCATTACGTAACGATTACATAATAAAATAAGGATATGAAATGAAGAGCTGTTGAAATAAGCTTTCTATTGATATGTAACATGTTGGTATATCTTGGCCGGTTTAGAAGATAGCTACCCCTGTTATCTACATCCTTAAGTGTATTATCTTGAAGCTATAGTTGAGTTGGGGGAGGGTTAGGTGGTTCAAATGCACTGCCCTTTTGGTCAGAAAGGTTGGGTCACCTAGGAGGGAGGTAAAAAGCTACTTTTTTGATAAAGTACCTGGTCTCCATTCTGAAATCACCGACTATACAGACTTGTCTTAAATGTTGCCCTTACCAACAATAATGAGTCCCTTCTTTGCTCTTGTTAGTGCCACATTGACCTGGTTAGAGTCTATGATAAAACCAAGGTTCTTTTTGCGCCATCCAAGAGTTGGCCTCTCAAGTATATCATAGTCTGGGAGAGAACGAACTGTGCTCAGGAGTACATAGTCCCACTCCCCACCTAAAGTGATAATAAATTTTAATTACATTGGATTCCGTTCTCTACATAAAGATGTATGGTATTTTACAGCTGCAAGCTAGGCAAAGGTGGAGTATTCATGAAAAGAGCATTTAACATAATATGCTTAACAATTACATATTATATGAGTAATAATAAAACAAGTGATAACAAAATGGGTATTCATATAAAGAACGTTGAAGAAATGATGTTGTTGAGAATAAATATATACTTCAAACTTATATTGGTGGTCATGCGCTCCATCTATTGAAGAACTAAGTAATCACAATGTACATTAAGTAAGTAACACTAACACTTATTATGCTTTCAAAACAATCATTAAAATTTCAGTAAAGCATCAACAGTATAAATACCCTGTGCTCCTACTACAGTGCTGACATTTGGGTAAGGTATTATTTTTTCCAGTTCTTTTTTTATAGCATACACCTGAGCTTTGTACTGGGACAGGACCACAATATTGGAGGGTTCAATGTTGTGTTTTGTGACTAGATTTTTGTACATCCGCACCTGAAAACAATTGATAACAATGTACTGGTAGGAATGCATCTGTCAAATTAAAAGTGAAAGAAATCATACAATAAATGATTATGAATCAGGCTAGCTGTATAATAAAAGTGGAATGTTTAGCATTTTAAGTTCACACAGCAGATGATATTTATCACATAATGAAGCTTACAACATGTTTCATTTCATCTTCGTTGCTCTTAGATCTCTCGCTCCCTTCACGTGTGGCAACAGGCAGGGTTGTCTCCTTTCCTTCAGTACAGCAAAATACAATAGCTTGGGGCTCGTCCCTTCCTGACCAAATTTCCAACTCTGGTGACTTTCCTTTCAGTGATGAATCTGTCTCTAGTTTTCCCCCATAAAACTTCTCTGATGGAAACTGGCATATGGTTTCATGCTAAAAGCAAAAGTATGTAAAGAGTAAATTAAGGTTAGACCCCATTTCTATAGATTAGATCGATCTACTTTAGATCAACCTAACTCCATGGGGGTTCACGCTAAATAGCTGTCAGCCGGGCGGACAAAGTTAATTACCCCCTTACAGCTTGTAGTAGGCGGGACGGACATTTAAGCCAGATTATCTGACAGTAATCAAGTGAGACTCCCCGCGGGGATTGATCGATCCAAAAGCTCTGGGAGTACAGCCTTAGTCTTTCAGTCTGGCAGCTAGCTAATGATGACATTGTTCTAATTGACACTTTTATAGAGCAAGCTAAAACATCACAATTAAAGTAATAAGTGGCAGACTGACAGCTATTCTTAAGCTTACCATTCTGTACTGAGTTTTAAGCATCATAGCCTTATAGGAGTATCTTTCAAACAATGACAAGGCAAGACCCAGATCACTTGCTGCTTTCAGAGGAACCACTGGACGTAACTGACGATGGTCTCCGAGAAGGATTACTTGGTAAGCATTTGAAGCAACTATTGGCACCATTGTTTCTGGTTCCATGCACATTGCTGCTTCATCTATCATAAGCTGCCTGAAGTTTAAACCAGTCAATTTCTGGCTACCACTGACAGAGCAGGTACAGAGGATGACCTCCGCTTGCTGTAGAGCCTCCTGTTCTGCCTTGGCCACTGTTGCTTTATATTTTGTCACATCTTCATGGGTTACAAGAAGAGGTTCCGTTTTGAACATCTCATCAAATTGAAGGATCTTCTTGCTATAACGGTTTGAACATTCCCTGATCAAGTAGTGAAGACTCTGAGGTATGCAGTGAACATCAATTTCAGTGTCATCCTCTTCATCTCCATTCGTAGACATTTTTTTCCATGATCTCCTGTGTACAGGTTGGGTAGGAACGGGAAAATCTTGGGACACAATTGTATCACTATACACACGAACAAAGTTTGGACAAATGTTTTCCTTGTCTTTCTGGTTAAAATGATACATCATCATAGCTAAAAATAATATTATAGAAATTTAAAAAAATCAAAATTACAAAAGAAAAACAGAAAATAAATAAATTGTCCACTACAATTTCAAAATTAATGTTACTCAAATAAAAGATTGCATTTATGCATTTAAATTAACAAAAATAGATCCATTCCTGTGACAGGTTTTGATGGTTAATGAGGTGGAAAAAGACTTAAATGAAAAAACAAAAATTTACGCTCGGCTGTTTGGGTGTGCATGCATGTGTGCATGTTAAAAGTTTTACAAAACTTTTAAAGTCAAAATAAATGAGCTGCTTTTTGTTCGACAATGTTCTGCAGAAGAATTATCAAAGTGAAGAAATCTGTAACCTACATGCTAAATGGTCCAAAGATTTGTTAGATGGCCCACACACCAAGATCTTTGGAGAAGTGTCAGGATCTGCATTGTTCAACCCTTGTTTGTTCCATTCATTCAAGATGTACAACATGTTAAGTGCTGTCCAGGTTTTGCCAGTTCCTAGAAAATGACAGGGTTCTCCATATCATTTTTAATAAACAGTTATAATAAAGTACAATGGCTGAATATTCCATGATTTCTTGTATGTGTCACAAAAAAAAAATTAGTAAAAAAAGTTTTCACCTACATCAGCAAGTAATTTTGATCTTGGTAAAAAGGTTTTGACTGAGTGGGGGTACTACCTTTCCCTAATACACATTCTTAGTTTCACATAAATTATTCATAGCAACTCACATTTCCAAAAGGGTTAAAAAATTCTGGTCACAGTAAGTGTCCATGTTTATAATTCTTTCAAGTAATAAATGTTAAAATTCATAAATATGACGAATGTAGGTTTGGCATTTAATCGCACAATAAGCTTCATTTTGACGAACAAAACAAACCCCTGCATGAGCATGATAAATTTTTTACCTGGTGGCCCTTGTATGAGTGAAAAAGGAGAATTCAGTGCTTCAGTAACAGCGTTCTTCTGACTAAAGTTCATTTTTGCAATGTATCTTTCTAGTTTCTTCTGGCTGTCTTCAATGAATTCTTTGGGCACTTTAATCCCTGTAAAAGATAAATTGAAGCTTTTGCTTAAGAGAGAACATCTGTGACATCATGGTAGCAAAGCAATTTTTTTAATCCTTAAATTCTGAAATAATATCTCAAAACCTTATATTAGTACTGATTCTGACTCCACAAAGAAACAAATTACCATTCCTTAAATAATTTAATTTGAACTGTATGGTAATAGTATCAACAAACAGCATGAGACCATAAAAACTGGCGTCTGCACTGCAATTCACTTCTCCACAACTTTAAATTTCATTAAACTCTTTCCAGCTAGGTTCTTGCTCTTATTTACACCTAACTTACAGTGTACACCTCTTTGATAACAATACTTCAAGTAATGTCTGCTTTGATAAATTTCTGTTGAGTGGAGATCATATAGAGAAATAATATCCTGTATTAAATTTAAAAAAAAAAAAAACACATACTTACACTTTTGATAAATTATAGTTTTGCCCCAAACCCTCTCAACTGTACCCTGTATCACATACCTTCCCTAGTTTTGTCAATATCTGATAAGTTTCCAGTTGCAATGCCTTTTGCTAATGTAGATGCCTTGTCTAGATTCTCAATGGCATGTTCCATCCTCCTTTAAAAATAAAAAAATCAACTTCAATGTTGCACATTAGGTTATAAAAACATCATCAACGAAAAAGGCTACATATATAGAGAGTTCATTTAACAAATTGTCACAAACATTAACATTACCATAAATAAATATCTCAACACCGTATCTTTAATCAATATACAATATATACTCAGAAAAACAATACATACTTATCTGTTGAAGTCTTTGGAATCACTTCTAACGTACACACACTTGGCTGCTGTAGCATTTTCTCTGTAGGGTGACAAGACTTATCATGTAGCTTAAAATGAATGTAACTTCCTTGCTCTTTCACACCAGTAATCACTCCATGTCCAGTCCAGATGTAACTTTCACCTTTGTCCCTCTCCCCCATTTGTTCCCTCTCTCCATAAGTTTGTGCTGCAGCTGGAATCCTTGGGCAAATGATGCACAAATACTCTGAAAAATGCTCCAGGTCATTGGTTTCCTCGCTGTCACTTTCATCTTCATCCTCATCAGCATCAGAATCTTCCACTTCATCTCCGTTCACATCTTTCATGAAAAAAATATGTCTTTGCTTGCAAAACTCTTTACCGAGGCTAAACTGACCTTTGTATACTGGCAGATTATTTTTCTCATCTTGTATCCAAGTGATTTTAACATTGTTTATGTAAAAAGATTCATCAGACTTGACTGCTTCATAGGCAGACTCCATGGAAAGGATTGGGCGCCAAATCTGCTGGTATTCATCTATGTCACGGTAGCGTTCTTTGCTAGCCTTACTGGCCATATCCTCGAAACATATAATAGGGTTCTCTTTATGGTGCACACACAAATGAAACTGGTCAGTCAAACTCAAAATCTGTACCCTTGGACGTAGAAATCCTCGTTCAATCTCAGCTGTGAAAAATAACTTTAAAACATCTCCCCCTTTAAGCAATAGAGAAAACTGTTTGAAGTGATCAAAAATCATTCCGCCACCTGGTGATTCTGAGGTTAGATAAGGATCCACTTGCCTCCGTTTCACATTTTTCACAATTTTCTGAAGAAAATTTTTTGACCCATCTTGGTCCCCCTTCATGAATTTGTCTAACATGATCTGCCAATCCCTGCCTGCAATCTGACGGACATGCCTTTTTGTATCAAGTTCTGTTTGGCTTACTGATAATGCCTGGCTTTCATTTGGTATTTGGTCATAAATTCGCTTTCCCCAAGCCAGCACAGTTCTTGCTTTATTATCCTCTGGCAATTCAGGCTTTTCTTGCAAGGAAAGGGATGCATATTTGATTGTTTCACATCTCTTTGGGACAAAATTGTAATCTGGATTTCTGAACAGAATGTGGTCTTCTTCCATGGCCTCTACTATTGTATAATGAGGCCTTACAGGGTCACTGGACAATTTAAAAGCATAGGCTAAACAATCACAATCCTTACTAAAATGTTTCTGTTTCAGTACACCAAGATTGTAGAGATGGCATATTTTCTGAACTGCTTCTGAATTATATGGGGATGCCATGTTCCCCAAATGTGCTTTCAATAATCTGTGCACAATCAGATCAATGTATCTGCGCACTGGAGAAGTAAACTGGGTATAAGGTCCTATGTTCATTCCAGAGTGTACTATTTCATTAGGTTTAACATAAGCAGAACAAGTGACTCTTCGGTGCATCTGAATACTGAACCACTGTTGTAATACATGGGCATGCTGAGGATGCTTTTGCTCCTGACAAACAAGAGTGAAAGCGGTCTTCCAGTCATCACAATTAACAGCATTCTCTATTGCTTTCCATATGTCTTCCTTTATTTCAACCTTAGGCATAACATATTGTGGAACATTACCAAGACATGGCAATTGTAATCTATGGGGGTCAAAGTAAAGCATATTTGGCAGGAAATGCTTGAAGTTATCTTTCCAAATGGTGTATAATTCTTCCCTTGGAGGAAGATGTTGCACCAGAATTGTGCTGTCAGGGTATGCCTTCAAAAGGACTCCTGCCACATGTTTGTTTGCTTCTATCATCCACTCTTCCACTAACTGGTGGCTCTTAAAGTTTGATGAATCTTGCAAATGGTCAGCATCATAAAGGAAAAAAGCTCCGGTTCCTAAACGCTTAATACGGAGAGCATGTGACAGGTCATAAAGCATTTTCACAGGAAAAAACTCCTTGGTTGTTGTCTGGTCTTCAATTATTTGCTCCACTTCATTGTAATTCAAATTTTTGTCACAAAATATGACAGATTCCACAATGCTAGGCTCTTTGGTGAATAAACCATCTTTGTTTATGGTGAAAATAACAGATATTGTCAGCTTATCTTCCCCACTGCGCAAACTACAGAGATCTTCACTAAGTCTTGGAGGCAGCATGTGATAGGGCTTGTGATCTTCACAATTGGGGTAAAAAGTTACACTGCGCACCTTGGCTTCCTTGTCAATGGCTGCCTCAGCCTCAACATAATACGCAACATCTGCAATGTGCACAATGACTTGAAACTCGTTTTCATTATTTGTTTCCTACACAACTCAATGCATCATCAAAGTCTTTTGCATTCAGTGGGTCAATGGTAAATGTGTAGATGCTCCTGAAGTCTTTTCTAGAGTCTAATTCATTAGATGGGATTTTATAGTTATTGCCATAGATTGTGTGTAAAAGCTTTCTACTTTGTGCAGTGAATTGATGGGTCAGACGGTATTGGATTTTCAGCAACTCCAGCCCATTTTCCAATGAATTTGCTGCTGGTTTCACATCTACCACCACTCCCAAAGGATATCGGCAATGATCTTTCCAGGTAAGATATCGCACAATGAACAGCCTGTTGTGCTTGCTCTGGGGTTTTATCATTTCCGTGTATACTAATTCCATTTTTGCTTCATTGTCTCGTCCTTCCTTTACTCTGTATACACTGACAGAATTTTCCCCACCATGTTTATTGAAAATCACTACCTTGGGCATTGTTTTACAAATAGGTTTCATCAAAGAACAGTTATAGTCATCAACACTACAGATGAGTTTGTACTCTTTAAGTAGGGGTAGGTGGGCAAGGACACCAAGGACCCTGCCTCTTTTCACAATTTCACCTGTAGAAGGGTCAACAGGATCTATTGGTAAGTCAAATATGTCGACCACAACTTCTTCACCACTAAAAGCTCGACCACAACGCTGTCTTCCGTAAATCTTAATTTTGTCCACAGATACATCTCTCTGAACTGGAATGCATGTTGCTTCTTGTGATGTGTCTATCTGGAAAATACATCTCTTGTATCTGTCAGGATCTTCTTCAAGTTTGTTTCTTAGTAAATGTGGCTCCAAACATTCATAATACGGTTTCAGACCTCTGCTGCTAAAATAATCAAAATAATCTAAACACATATCCCCAGAACAGTCAGACTCCTCAGAATATGTGTCAATATCCAAATTCCTGTTCTGTAACCATATATCTATGTGTTTACGGTCATAAATGGTATTTGATGCAGCTTTTACATCGATGTCACCATACTCTATATCTAAAATGCTTCTACTTTTAAGGGGGATCTTGGCAGTTTTTTGGTCATACTCTTTTTGCAAGGCTTTCATAATAGCATCAGTGTCAGGATTTCCAATATCTGACTCAGCATAACCATCTCTGCCAACTGGACAGGGAGAATTGCTTCTGGATGATTCTGTTTGTGTTGAGCAAATGGAAACCTCACTCCCACTATACTGACTATAGCCAGAGCTGATTCCAGAATCCTTTGAAACATTTGATAATACTGTATCAGAAAAGGAGGGACTGCCTGGACGCATGATCATGGTATCTTGCATTTCATTTTCAGACATAATATAACTGTGAAACTGTTCCAAAGACTTTTCAATCCACTGAAGGTTTACATTAGCAGGTTTCACACCTTCATGCTGTGCTGATATGTCCAAGTATCTTTTCCACACACTCTGACACAAACCAACTGAACATAAGGCAAGAGGATCGCCAATCACCATGACAAGAGACCTGGCTCTTGTAAAGGCAGTACTCAGAAGTTTTGGGTCTGACAATACTCCCAGATGATGACCTTTTTGTTTTTTATCACTGATCAGTTTTTGTTTTGTACAAACTGTACTCAGCAGTACGGCCCAGTATTCATTGCCTAAAAAATATCAGCATCAGTAAATATTTGCCACTGGCTTAGACCCCATTCCCATACCTAGATTGATTTAGGATCAACCCATCTCAAGGTTAGTGGGTATTGTTAAATAAGTTCAGTAGGCATGCCTGGCATCTTAGCCACTTTAGCTGAATGTAATTTAGCTAGAATCCCCTTACTTGGAGAGGGGGTGATCCTGCAAGATCGATCTAGGAGTAGGAATGGGGTCTAACAATAAAAAGTACTTCTTATGGCTATGAAAAGGCATTTTTCATTTAATTCATATCTGTCATTCTTTGCTANCACTACAGATGAGTTTGTACTCTTTAGGTAGGGGTAGGTGGGCAAGGACACCAAGGACCCTGCCTCTTTTCACAATTTCACCTGTAGAAGGGTCAACAGGATCTATTGGCAAGTCAAATATCTTGACCACAACTTCTTCACCACTAAAAGCTTGACCACAACGCTGTCTTCCATAAATCTTAATTTTGTCCACAGATGCATCTCTCTGAACTGGAATGCATGTTGCTTCTTGTGATGTGTCTATCTGGAAAATACATCTCTTGTATCTGTCAGGATCTTCTTCAAGTTTCTTTCTTAGTAAATGTGGCTCCAAACATTCATAATATGATTTTAGACCTCTGCTGCTAAAATAATCTGAACACATGTCCCCAGAACAGTCAGACTCCTCAGAATATGTGTCAATATCCAAATAACTGTTCTGTAACCATTCATCTATGCGTTTGCGTTTGTCACCATACTCTATATCTAAAATGCTTCTACTTTTAAGGGGGATCTTGGCGGGTTTTTGGTCATACTCTTTTTGCAAGGCTTTCATAATAGCATCAGTGTCAGGATGTTCAATATCTGACTCTGCATAACCATCTCTGCCAACTGGACAGGGAGAATTGCTTCTGGATGATTCTGTTTGTGTTGAACAAATGGAAACCTCACTCCCACTATACTGACTATAGCCAGAGCTGATTCCAGAATCCTCTGAAACACTTGATAATACTGTATCAGAAAAGGTGGGACTGTCTGGACGCATTTTCATGGTATCTTGCATTTCATTTTCAGACATAATATAACTGTGAAACTGTTCCAAAGACTTTTCAATCCACTGAAGGTTTACATTAGCAGGTTTCACACCTTCATGCTGTGCTGATATATCCAAGTATCTTTTCCACACACTCTGACACAAACCAACTGAACATAAGGCAAGAGGATCGCCGATCACCATGACAAGAGATCTGGCTCTTGTAAAGGCAGTATTCAGAAGTTTTGGGTCTGACAATACTCCCAGATGATGACCTTTTTGTTTTTTATCACTTACCAGTTTTTGTTTTGTACAAACTGTACTCAGTAGTATGGCCCAGTATTCAGTGCCTAAAAAATATCAGCATCCGTAAATATTTACCATTGCCTTAGACCCCTTTACCACACCTATATCGGATCGGACCTAAAAGGATCAGTCCATCTCCAAGAGTTTCTCCCTAAACTGCATTCAGCTTAAGTGACTCTGATGTCTGGCACACCTACTGAAGCTGTAAGGGGATATCGCTTAGTAGCTTCAGTAGGCATACCAGGCATCAAACAACTTAAGCTAAACGTAATTAGCAATGATCACCTCAGAGATGGGTCAATCCTGCTAGATCGATCTAGGTATGGGAATGGGGTCTAACAATCAAAAGTACTTCTTATGGCTATGAAAAGGCATTATTTTGTTTAATTCAGATATAATCAAACCTACTTTGTGTGTCAACAAGCCCTTGGGTATTAAGATTTTTATTACACTGCATACTTAATGGAAAATAAATTTACAAAGAAATTACAGAACTGGTAAAACAGGAGATTGAATACAACTGATATGATTGGATGAAAATGGCCATTGCACATAAAACTTAATAATTACCCTGGGCATTCTCAATTACATCCACAACAACTTTCTTAGAGTGGTGGCCAAGGTCCTTCCCCTTGAGAGCATTTCTGATACACTTCACCTGCAAAATTTATTTTCATTTGATGTGCATATCTCCATCATTTTAATTTGCCTATTGTGCAAATTCGCTTGAAGAATCTGTGTCCTTGATACATTATGTACATGCATGCAAAATGCCAACAAATGTGAAGAAAAGTCACAGATGAGAAATATGAATAAATTGGATACTGGGATATACTGAGACCATTCACTAGACCATTCACAACAAATGTGAAGAAAAGTCACAGATGAGAAATATGAATAAATTGGATACTGGGATATACTGAGACCATTCACTAGGTAAATGACCTGTTTAAACTGAGATCCCTTTCTTGTTCAATGTTGGCTTTTCCAACCATTCCCAAATGGCTTCTTTGATGCCATGTTTGACCCACTTTTATCCAATGGGTAAAAGAATGTTTACTATACACTAGGGCCCGTATTCCAAGATGTTCCTTAAAATAGGGCTAAGGTCAACTTTTATAAAGGCTTCCTTTGATGAGATGTTCCTTGGTAAAGGAAGGCCTAACGAAATGGTATTCTAAGACCACACTTTAGCCTCTCCTTTGATAAGGAATTACTTTGACAAAAGTCAGCCTTTAGGTAAGGGACACTGACATAAAGGAGCTCCTCATTGGTTAGAGTAGGCATTTGTGACACCCTCCTTGTTAAAAATGCCTCAGTAATATTGTATAATTGGGGTCAACTGATCAACTTCATTCATGCAACAGCGCATATGGACATTATCACTGCATTTGGATTTTTTGATCTAAGCCAAATTTAGTGAACAAAGCAAATATGGCAAGAAGAGAACATAATGGTTTGGAGGATGAGAAAACCAAAGTCGTAGACCCCTTTCTGATATCGAAAAAGCAGCTACTGATGCAACTAGTCAACAGAGAAAAGCCTATCCTCGATCAAACCCCTGTTTGTTTGTCTGTCTTTTTGTTACCTCCACCAAGTAGGTTATGTTTTCATCCCGTTTGTTTGTCTGTCTGACTGTTTGTCTGTTGGTTTGTTTGTTTGTCATCAATATAACTCAAAAAGTTACAAGCAGATTTTGATGAAATTTTCAGGGTAGGCCAGAAATGGGATATATTTGAAGTGATTAGTTTTTGGTGGTGATCAAGATCAATAATCAATCAATTATCATTAATAAAAAAAACTCAAAAAGTTATGGACCGATTTTTATGACATTTACAGGGTAGGTCAGAAATGGGTTAACTTAGAAGTGGTTAGTTTTTGGTGGTGATCAAGATCAATAATCAATAATCACAAATAAGTCAAAAAGTTATACGTCGATTGTGATGAAATTTTCATAAACTGTCACAAGTGGGCCAAGGAACAGATGATTCGTTTTTGGTGGTGATCTGGATCAATAATCAATCAATAATCAAAAATAAAAAAACTAAGTCATTATTGAATGAAAATTGGGTGGAGACTTCACTCTCGGAGTGCTTTTCTAGTTGAATAAATTGATTTTGAATTTAGGCAGGCATGTTGGTTTATATAGTCCTCCGTGGAGCTGATTTTCACAAGAGAAATGTACACGATGGCTGCTTAAGGAAGACTAAAGTTACTCCAGACCAACCTTACATTATGAGGAATCCTCAGGCGAAAATAAAGGAAATCTTTAAGAAAAGCAGATTCTAGAAATGACCGATTCCTTTGCTAAGGATTGTTAAGTGATTCCTTTCAAGTGAGATAAAGAAAGGTCTTGGAATACAAATGTTGTATAAGGTCGACTTTAAGTCTCCCTTAACGCTGAAGGGAGATTCTGGAATACGGGCCTAGATATTTATTTGATACAACTTTCCAGTGGTTAAAAACTCTGCTACCCTCAGGATAACTATCCAGAGGTTTACAATTTTATACAAAAGATAGTGTTATCCATAGAATAGTGCTATCCAGTATTAATGAAACTGGGACCAGATGACCAGTCCATCCACATCATTTACCCAGTGAAAGGTCCTAGGTTGAGACCACAATGTCAGTTAGTTGCTGTAGGAAAGTTCCAGTATCAGAGTCATTCATATTTCTCATTCTTATTCTACTGGAGTCATTCATATTTCTCATTCTTATTCTACTGGATGCCTCACAACATTTACTCAAGTTACAGGTATGACAAGAAAAGAATCACCGAAATGTGAATAAAGGTGCAGAGTGACATTTCCTGTAGTCTGCAATGTGGGAATTAGAAGCTTATATTTAAAATATTACTTACCTGTTCATAGTATGGAGTAAGAATAGCTATTCCATCACTGTCCATTTGCTCTGCCAAAGGCCATGATTTAAGGAGCTTCTCAGTTTCACTGGCAATTGCTTCTGCTTCTGCAATGTTATAGTATGACATACCGCACTGGCTGAGTTCCTGCTTTCCTTGAACCATACAAAATGATAAAGGAAAATAACCTTCAAAATGTGGAATTTCTCGTCTTGAACATAATTTGGTTTTATAGAATACATCAGAGACAAAGTCCAAGATTTCCCGGCAATTTCTGTAGTTCCCCGAAAGAACAACTTTGTACTTAGTGTCTTTTTCTTTTTCGTAAAGCCTAAACAACCTCTGAAACATGGTCTGCTGAAGCCAGGGTCGCACAGCATTGCAATACACATTTGGGGTTACTTGCATATGGTCACCAGTGAGACAAAGTACTGTGTCTTTGTTGGCCAACAGTAATGGAATCAGACTTTCTGGTTCTATTGCTTGTGCTGCCTCATCTATCAAAATGTGTGTAAACTTCCCAGACACACTTGTATCAAACAGCAAAATGGAAGACTTCAGTGTAGTGATAATGATGTTGCTTTTTTGTAGCCTGGATTCACTGGGCAAGGTTAGTTTGGTATCATCATGTTCACAATACTGTAAAATGTCTGTGCGGACATCGCATATGGACTTTTGGTCTTCATAAACCCTCAGAACACTCACTGTTTTCCCCCTTTCTTTCAGGAAGGGTTGCAGGTACTTCAGAATATAAATATCAGCAGCACTGAAATTAACAAATAAAAGTAAATTATTATAATGTTGTTCAATATTATACGAATAAGTATCTAAGTTTTAACAATTGCTTAATGATTCCCCCATATTCAAGAATATTTTACAATCACCCTCGACTCACCAAAAGAGGTACAAACCAGCTCAAAAGTAAAATGCACATTAGCACTGATGATTAAGGGCGCATTCCCACAGATTTTCGATCGATCTATCCCCGTGGGGAGTCTCACTAGATTACTGTCAGATAATCCGACTTAAATGTCCGTCCCGCCTAATACAAGCTGTAAGGGGGAAATTAACTTTCATGCCTGACACCTGACAGCTATTTAGCGTGAACCCCCAGGGAGTTAGGTCGATCTAGTTGGATCAATCTAATCTCTGAGAATGGGCTCTAAGACTACTGTTAAATGTGCTGTGAGTACAGTGCCTTTACAAACACATTATAGCAGCAGAAAATTCTATTACCTATCTGACTTGCAGCATATAAGACAACGCTGCTGTGTGACACTGATCATATTCAACATGGCCTGTGAGAGGGTGTAAGTTTTTCCGCTGCCAAAAGGACCATATACTATCAAGGGAGGCTGCTTTATATACCCAGTCTTCTTGCTCAACAAATGACTTACAATCTGCAAGTTCTTCTCCTCAAAATTCTCACTCATGCTGAAAGTAAATTAATTATTGCAATTTTAATTTATTGAGTACACAGATATCTGCAACGTGAGGGACTGTCCCAATGTATTAAAACATCTTGCTTTATTGTGTGAAAAAAGTATAAATATTGTTATTGGAAGTATCACATGATAGCCATGACTTAATTGTTATAAAATACTACTCAATAAATAACATAGGGAGAGATCCTCTACTGCTTGACCTCTATTTATCAAGGAATAGTCACAGTGGTAATAAATGGCAATCAATCAAGTCTCACGGTTTAGCATAAATTCATTCTATAGGCTCAGGTGATTCTAAATGCAGTTAAGTTTATTTGAATTTAAGAATATTTCACTGCATGAATTTCATTTTTTTTTTTTTTTTTTTTTTTTTTTTTTTTTTTTTTTAAACCAAATTGTAAAGTTTGCTAGTTTTCTTTTGGATTTTAACTACTCCCTCTGAAGTCTTAAGCATTAGTCACTTTAGCCAGAGGTAATGGGCTAGTTAAAAATAAAACAAAAAATTATATAACACTGGCTCACTTTGAGACCCTTACTGGCTAAAGTGCTAGTGTCCTTTGTCCTTTAAAGAAACAGACTGATCATGTCACTCATACTAAATACATTGTATAAAATTATGCTTGCCTCACAGGTTTGTCCTCAACACTGACTAATGCTGGATTGATCTTGGAAATATCAGGAAACAGCTGGTCCACGTGCCCAAACATGTCAACAGCAAAGCCCATTAATCTTAGGTTTTCTTTGTCCAGCTGAAAACTGATTTTCAAATCTACTTCCGGCTTCCCATAGAGTTGCAACTCTGCAGAACAAGTTGGTGAAAGGATTATCCTAATGCTACTCCCCTGGTCTACCAGTACAGTGGTATCTTGCCTGTACTGACCCTTGATGAGAACAGCTTCATAGGCCTTACAAGCTGTGGGCTCAATTGCCATTACATACACCTTCTTGACATGATTGGATATCAAGTGCCCTTGTTTTCCATCACAACTCAGTTCAGGAGGGACAGGTGCTCTAGCCTCAATACAATCACATGGTACGTTTTCACCGTCATCTTCAAATGGTAGCAGTTTGCATGTTGTCTGCAGCATGGACCTGAAATTATTTAAAACTGATATACCTCTATTGTTTAATACAACCATGTTAACCAGGACCTTTACATTAAATTTTGTCCACTCAATGGCTTCAGGGATTTTTTTTTTTTTTTTTTGGGGGGGGGGGGGGGGGGGGGCAGAAAACAGCCATTTTTTTGCAAGGGTATTAAAAAGGTCAAAA